CAAAATTAGATACGACTAGCGCAGATAGCCCTCGTGTAGCTTTGCGCGAAATTCAAAAACAAACAAGAACGAGCTCAGTTACACGTTGCAGCCCGAAACCTGGGCCTTCATGTCCGATTCGAACAATTCCCTTGTTGTTAATGATAAATAATTAAGGAGTAATGAATGATATACCAGTTTGTATGAAAACTTGAAGCGAAACACACAGAAAGTGAGCTAATATGGAGTAATGAATGATATACCAGTTTGTATGAAAACTTGAAGCGAAACACACAGAAAGTGAGCTAATATGGAGTAATGAATGATATACCAGTTTGTATGAAAACTTGAAGCGAAACACACAGAAAGTGAGCTAATATGGAGTAATGAATGATATACCAGTTTGTATGAAAACTTGAAGCGAAACACACAGAAAGTGAGCTAATATGGAGTAATGAATGATATACCAGTTTGTATGAAAACTTGAAGCGAAACACACAGAAAGTGAGCTAATATGTATTCTTGGTTTTGGTTATTTATAAAGCTACAATTTGGGACTCAATCCCTGCGGTGGGTGCAGCGTTGTTAGCCCATTGCACTTAACAAGAAAGAAACTTAATTGAGCACAATAGCCTGAACAACGAAGTTTGACAAAATACTATCATTCTAGGTGGAACAGCGTTATTTGTTGTCAAGTTGGGTATGAATTGTGACTCGCTCGTGCTATAAGATGGAAATCAAAGGGTGTAGTCTGCTTAGACTATTGTTAGACGTCAGCAAACCAAATTAATTCTTAAGACTATTGCTCAAAATGCTTCATGTCCTCCTGGAGAGAGTCTCTATGAAACTTGTGATTTTAATGTTGAAATAACGGAAAACCTCCAGATGTTGCATCCCCCCCTCTCCAAAAACATTTATAAGGAATTAACAATAATATATTAAGGAGTGAAAATAGGGCGAAACTAGTGTTCGTTTTTTAGTAAAACAGGAAATTTCAACTTAGCCCCAGTGAAAAAAATTCCGAGGTACATTTATACATACATAAAGCAGAACTACCCACATGTATATTTGCCCCCCCCCCCAATGGCACAGCGGTATGTCTGCGGACTTATGCTGCTAGAAACCGGGTTTCGATACCCGTGGTAGGCAGAGCACCGATATCCCATTGTGTAGATTTGTGCTTAACTACAAACAAATCAAATTTATGTTTGGTGCCACAAATTGTTGCAAGTACCAAACAGACCAGACACGATCGAGATTTTCGCCGTTCTAGGGTTAATAAGTAATTTAGATATTGTACTTCAGAGGGCGCTCGGTAAATACTAAACACTTTCTTTTTTCTTTTTTAGTGCGTCAATATCACAATTATTTGATAATAAGCTGAGATTTACACGTAAGGGCCTAGGAATTAATGCTATTTATATGCACACAGCGCCACCACCTAACTAACAAAGTTTAGAGATCTGGTAGGCACAACAAACAACGTTAATGAGGAAGACCTTATTTCTTTCTATTCTACGAGTGAAGCCATGCTATGTCATTGTTCGTTCTAAATATCAGATAAGGTTGTTTTTTTCCGATCAGCTTTTATATACATATTTCCAAGTGAAACCTGACACTCACTCACACATATTTAACACCTATGTTCACACCTGTTTTATATGAACAAATGACGTAGATATAATAAAATGTATTTGTCGAGGAAACAGACCGGGAGTGACGTTTCGGGATATGGCGCTCTTGTGCTACTTCTTGGAGCAACTGCCAAATTAACAGCTTAATGAAAATAACTCTGAATTTTTTCTAGACGCCGATCTTCATAATTGTAGGTTTGATGAAATGTGTCCCAGTTTCTAATAATTTTATATCTATCATAATTAAACCATGGTTCTGGCCACCCCTCCATTAACTCTTTGTATACATATTTTAATGACGCTGTAATTTCAGACCACACCACTAGTTGGTTATATATGAATGTTTGTTTGTTCTTAAGCGCAAAACTACATAATGGGCTATTTGTGCACTCTCTACCGCGAGTATAGAAACCAAATTTATAGTGTTATAAGCCCTCAAACTTACCGTTGAGCCACCAGGGGGCAGGAATGAATGTAATCGCTGATGTCATTGTTGGTATACTTCTTAAAATGACAACCGATGATTTTAAAAACGTCAGACTATTTTTCTCTTTACCTGATGAATGTATTATAACAGTTATCAACATATAGACGTGATATTTTTCAAGTGCAACTCGTGACTTTATGTTTTATACTTTTAGACTCAAAGTTTATTTGCGCTTACAGTTAGGTCACCATTTTTTTATAACATAATATGGTTTCTCTTGATAACAACGTCAAAGTATTTGTTTATAATCTTAAGAGCAATCCACATGTAGACTTGATAACATTATATAGATGTTATCGTCTCATCTAATATTTATAGGATGGTATTGCATTTACGAAACGTTTCAATTCTTGTGTAAAATTATTTGTTTGTTTGTGTTTTTTTTTATGTGAACGCCCCCACAGTAACCAAAGCGAAACAGTATTGCATTTACAAAATGTAATATGCCTTTAAAGGCGTTTCATTCACATTGCCCCCTGTGGCTCAATGGTAAGTTTGAGGGCTTATTACACTAAAAACCTGACTTCGATACCCGCAGTTGGCAGAGCATAGATATTCCATTGTGTAGCGTTGTACTTAAACGAACAAACAAAACATTCTTGTGTAAAACTACAAGCTTGTTAGTGGTGTTTGTATGTGAACGCCCCCTCTGTAACCCTAACGAAACAGTATTACATTTATCAAACATCATCTTTAATTATTATTTCCAGACCCCCAGTAGCAGCGGTATGTCTGCAGACTTACAACGCTAGAAATCTGAGGCTCCCTTGATGTCAATAAGAAAGTTTGAGCCCCCCCCCCCCCAACCTATAAAAATGCCTTAAAATGCGATTTTAAAATGCCACTCCCACTACTTTAGCATGGTGATAGAAAAACAGTGCGGTATCATTTAATTAATTCAACATCATTTTTATCGGATTATTGTTTATTTAAAATTAAAAGTAATTCAGCATCTTTGTCTTCGTCCTATTCTTTGAAAAGGTTACTGCTTATGTAGATGAGGGTAAGGGTATAGATATGTTGTGTCTGGATTTTCAAAAAGCATTTGACAAGGTGCCACATAAAAGGCTTGTAAAAAATTTTCTCTATAGGTGTGGGGGATAAGTTAGCAAACTGGATAGAAGAGTGGCTGGATGGAAAAAAGCAGAGAGTTGTTACAATTTGAGTTCAGTCAAACTGAATTAATGTCACAAGTGTGGTAACTCAGGACTCAGTCTTAAGACCTATGCTCTTTTTTATTTATATCAATGACATAGATGAAGGAATAGTCAATAAATTATTTAAATTTGCAGATGATATTAAGGTCTTGGGTGTTGCTAACTGTGAAGAGGATGCTGCTGATTTATAAAAGGATTTAGGTCATTTGATGAGTTGGGCAAATAAACGGCAGATGATTTTAATTATAATAAATACATAAATGAATAATAATTATAATAAATAGATAAATAAATAATGTATGTGGGTTATCATAATTTGAATTATAAATGTAATTTGAATGGGAATAACCTTAGCATTGTTATGA